TGTGGGTGCTGGGAATTCAACTATGGTCCTCTGGAAGAACAGCAAATGCTCTTAACTGCTGAACCATCTCTTCAGCTTCTTAATGTTTTTATAAACCTCCAAGAAGTACATTCTCTGTATACAGAAGAAAAGCTCATACTTTGATACAAGCAGCTAAGAAAAACTAGAGCTTCTAGGAATGGGATTTTACTGAGGAGGACTCCAAACCACTGCTAAAGACTCCAGGCTAAATTGTATTTCAGGTCATTTAGGTGGTTTTTATTCCATTTCCTTAGCAGAAAGTGGTTTCCTCTTCTTCCCAGCCCTCATTTCCTATCCCTGCTAAGTTTAAGATGCAGAATTTAATGAGGTGTCTCTCTTGTGAACCAGGTGGGCCAGGCCAAAGACGAACTTCTCACCAATCAACTGATAGACCATCTGATGGGGGAGAGCGACGGGATGCCGAAGGTACAGGAGGCTTGTCACTGAGGGGTGTTCATGCCCCAGCCTCGCCTCATTGTCTGGTCCTCTTTTTTTACCTGTCATGACTTTGCAGACCTATAGAAATGTCACCCTGGAAGCAGCCATCCCCACACGCTAGAGGACGCCAGGAATGCGCCCTTTAGAACTGGCCGGGAGCCTGTGCAATAGCCACACCCCTTGATGTAACCATCACCCCACACACAGTTTTTTTCTAAACCGTCACAATTTCGTTTATTCTAGGCACTGAGAAAGCAATCATTGAAACTGTTGACCTAACAATGGGCCCTAAAAATTGGGGTGTTTTACTCATATTTTTAATTTTGGAAATAATCTAAATGTTAAGTATAAATCACTATAAGGTCAGTGGCTGAGAGCAGACGTCAGAATCCATGGCCCCTGCAGGTTACTATAGAAATCTGTCTGCGCTGTCCTGGTGAGGACAGATGTGATGCCTTAGGAAGTGCCCGGAGCCCTTGGTGCCCCTTTGCCTCCGTGTGCAAAGCCATCTGCTGTGACAGACTCTAGCTACTAGTGTGGGGAGACATCATCCTTATACAGATAAAGCCACTGAGACCCAGAGGGACTCTGGTGCCTTGCCAAAAGATACAGTCCCTTGTTTGCCATCTCACACCCCTCCCATTATGTCCGCTAATTTTAATAATCTGGAAACCAGCCCCAGGTACAGAGTGAGCCAGCCCCCGTTTGGACTTGGGTGGGAATGGCTAAGGGTGATTACAGAGAAGACTTGCATCGGTGTTAAGATGTCCTTCTGGCCCAGGAGAGGCTGTGTGGAGCTGGGTAGAATGTATCCAGGTGACGCTGCTCCATGCCCCTCCCCCAGCGCAGGAGCGGCTGTGTGGAGCTGGGTAGACTGCATCCGGTGACGGTGACGCTGTCCCAGGCCTCACTCTGTCCCTTTCCTTTCACCTTATAGTCCACAACATGAGCCTACAACAACGGGTTTGAAGGTTTAGCTGTTTCTTAACCACTTAGTTCCTGTGCACGTTCAGCTGAGCAAACTGAACTTAAACTGGCTTTTAAAATCGTCACTGCTGACTGGGAGCTGGATGTGGCCGTGACTGAAAGACACAATTTCTTGTGTCTTTCTCCCCCAGGATGCCAAGTACCTGTTCCGCTTGTACATGGCGCTGAAGCAATACCGTGAAGCCGCACGGACGGCCATCATCATCGCCCGAGAAGAGCAGTCTGCAGGTGCGTACCTAACACCGACTGGCTTCTGTGGTCCTGGGACCTGGACAGGGCCCTGCCCGTGCAGGGACAGCTTTACCGCCAAGCTACTTCTCCAGCACCAGGTCCCTCATCTTTTTCTTTTCTACCCAAACAGGTAATGGGTTAAAATCCAGGAAAGAGTAGCTAACTTCTAGCCTAGGCTTGCTCTGCCCCAAAGGACCAAACATTGTTTTTTCTTAGATTCAGAGGAGGAAAAATCATGCCCTGTCCCAAGGGATGTGGGTAACTGTGCTGAGACCTTCTCTTGCTGGATAGTTTCTTCTCTTTGTAACCACATCCTGGGAGCTCAGGGGTCACTGAGAACTGGACCACAGTTCTGCGCTTGAGGATCAGGGATTAGATTAGAAGGAGGAGAAAGAAATTGAATTCAGAGTTGCTGTTCAGGATGACAAGTGCTAGACTAGAGAAATATGATCAGAAAGGACCCGGGCCCCCTAAGGTACAGGAAGGGTCTGCACTGGGGAGATGGAGGATGGAAGGAGATTAGGGTGAAGGAGCAGAGAGAGCAAGAGATGAGTCCAGTGCACTGGGCAAGACCAAGAAGGGCTGGGAAGGTGGCAGGCTAGCTCCAACGGGGCTTTGAGCCTCTGCTAAGGAATTTTCGTTTGATCTCACTGCCTTTGGTGGGGGGGGGGTCTTGTTTGGTGGTACTGGGGATGGCACCTCACACATACTAGATATGCCACTGAGCTGGGGGTGTCGTAACCTCGGGGCATTGGGCTTGGGGTGAAACTTGAGGTTTTAGAAACCCTGAAAGGAAGACTGGTTAGGAGCCACAGAATAGTGTGGGGACTCTAACCATGGGCCTGAGGAGGCTGAACTTGAAGGATTCAAACTCAGTGCACTGAGGGGGTGACCTCTAAGGCACCGCCGTTTCCCCTAGAATGACTCACTGCTGGTATTGCCATCAACAAAGACATAAAAAGCTCTTGCACTGCCATATGGTTGAATGCTGTCAGTAGCATGACTAACAGACTGACTTGTGAGGTGAGGTCTCACCCTTCGCTCTTTTCCAAGGGAACTACCGGAATGCGCATGATGTTCTCTTCAGTATGTATGCAGAACTGAAGTCCCAGAAGATCAAAATCCCCTCCGAGATGGCCACCAACCTCATGATCCTGCACAGTTACATACTCGTGAAGGTGAGGCTGGGCGGAGTGGTGTGGGATCTAACCGGCCAGGGGGCCTGCTCAGCCAGTGGGGCTTCCTTCCCGTGCTTCTCCGAGCTTTAGAACCATTTCCTGCATCTCTATATTCTCAAGTAGCAAAGCAGCATAGCCAGCTCCAGTGTGTCCTTGTACACCAAGGACAAGAAGTAAGTAGTTCAGTAGACTCCTAAAAGGAGGAGCCGGGGAGAGAGCAGTGACGTCCTCCTGGGCAGACCACGCAGACGACAGAGGCAGGGTTCAGAGCACTAAAGCCCACCCAGGTGGGAGGAAAGAGATGGGTGCAGACTTTGCCATGTGTGTTTCTCCGGGTTTCGGTTTCTATTGTTTTTGACACAGGATCTCCCTACATAGGCTGACTTACTTATTTCTAGTTGTAGTGGAGCCTTTCTGTTTGGTTGCTTTCATTTTTATATTTTTTATGTATGTGTAGATTGGGATTGAGCCCAGGGCCTCACACATAATAAGCAAACACTGTACCTCTGAGCTGCATCCCATCCCTGTATATTGAGGTTTGTTTGCTTGTTTTGTTATTATTTGTTTTAATACAAAGTCATGCTATTATTCCTGGCTGGCCTGGAACTTACCATGTAAAACAGGCTGGTTTTGAATTGTGGCAATCTTCCTGCCTCTGCCTCCTGTCACTGGTGCCAGGATTACAGCATGCACCTCCATGCCTGGCTTCTGTTTTAAGATTTATTTTTATTATTTTTAATATGTGTGTGAGTATGTGCACAAGTGTCATGCCCACAGAAACCACTGGCATCGGATCCCACTGGAGCAGGAGAGTTATGATCCACCCCACTGGTACTGGGAACGAAATCAAGTCACTGAGCCCTCTCTCCAGCCCCTCCATATGTATATTATACACATAGGTCTTTGTAAAGATGCAAACAGGCTTCAATTAACAATTTTACCCAAAATGTCAGTGCTGTCCGAGTTCTTCTCTCTGTGTCGGTGCTGAGTCAGTTATCTGTCCAGGACAGCAAGCTCATTCAACCTTGACGGCCCCTCACAAAGTTAAGAAAAGTTCAAAAAAGGTAATGGAAGATGAAGCTGACGCAAGAGCAGGTTCTGGGAGAAGCTGAGCAAGCAGAGCTGGCCCTCAGCTCCCCCAGCCCTCTGTTCCCCCGGCCCTCAGCTCCCCTGGCCATCTCTCCACGCTGAGCCAGCCTTGCACCCCTCCATGGTGGAGCACCCTCGTGCCTTCCCCTTTGTGCCAGTTTCTCACAAAGCAGCAAGCACTTCCTAAAACTTGTGACTGTGGTTATCAAAACTGCTTTAACCCTTGGGAGGGCCACAGTGGCTCGCACTTTGAATCCTAGCACTTGGGAGGCCGAGGCAGGTGGAACTCTTTGAATCCCAGGACAGTCTGGTCTACATAGTGAATTCCAGGACAGCCAAAGCTACATAGAGACCCTGTCTCAAAACAAAACAAGGCAGGCAGTGGTGGCGTACACCTTTAGTCCCAGCACTCAGGAGGCAGAGATGAGCAGATCTCTGAGTTTGAGGCCAGCCTGGTCTAGAGTCAGTTCCAGGATAGTCAAGACTACACAGAGAAATCCTATGTTGAACAACAAAACAGAACAAACAAAAAAGACCAAAAAAGGTTGAATCATGTCAAGGCTGAAGAAACTGATGGATGCTTAATTGTCACAGTATCCTTATAGCTTTGGGGCTGGGCCTCTGCCTACTGCAGCTTCGCCCTGCCTTCAGCCCCCCCTTGCTTCCCAGACCCCATCCAGATTTGCCTGACTTCAGTCCCTTCCCACCGCAGGCTGAACTCACTTGGATCACAGCCCCTTCTCTTCCTCCTAGACCTTGACTCAGTGCTCAGTTCTCACTACACCTTAGACAACTTGTCAGCCCACAGAGGCTGGTAAAAGGCGGACCAGGGATTTACTTTGGGTGTCCCAAGGTAGAATACAATACTGAGCATTGCTGTGGTGCCAGATGTCAGTTGTTGAAGAACATAGGACATAGCCAGGGTACAGGGAGCAGCTGTGGAAGAGAAAGTAGGACAGCAAAGTCCCAGTCAAGGCTTGGGAATCTCAGCTGAGTCATGTCTGGACCACAGGCAATGAATTGTTTGGGGAAAGAAAGCATGGATTGGAGCTAATATAAGGCTGCAAGAATTAATGTCATTTATTTCAGATTCATGTTAAGAGCAGAGATCATATGAAGGGGGCACGCATGCTCATTCGAGTGGCCAACAACATCAGCAAGTTCCCGGCCCGTAAGTCCTATCTCAGCGGAGCTCTGTGCACACTTGGGGCTCAGCGGAGCTCTGTGCACACTTGGGGCTCAGCGCTGAGGTGTGCACTCCCCCAACCAGGCATGTTCAGAGCTCGCTGTGTTGTCAGGTCATTTATCTCCATAGCAATCCAGAAAGTGGCAGGCTGGGGTCCCCACGACCACCCCAGAATTTAATACTTCGCCCAGAAACTCTGCAAGGCTCAGCCCACAGTAGTGCAGTCACTAAGGTTATTACACCAAAGGGAAAAGGCTGGCGGGAGAGCAAGATGACCGGGAAAAAGCCCAGTGGAAACCAAGTGCAGACAGACACTTCTGAGTCCCCTCTGCGCATGACGCGGAACCCGAGTCATAGCGTTGCCAGGCCTGAAGCGTGTGTGCCAGGGTTTTCACTGTCAGTTTGTCACACGGGACCCCCCTGCCTGACAGGTCAAAGGGAAGTAATGTGTGCCCAAGATCACATTGTCTAACACTATCATCTCAAGCCTGGCTTCTGGGAAAGGTCCCTTTCTCCCAGAACTGTTTTTAGAACATTCTTAAATGAACAGACTTTTTCACACAGTGTGACAGGTGTCAGCAAACTTGCTGTAGAGAGCCAGATGTTAGACATTTTAAGCCACTTGGTCTGTCACAACGAGTCAGTCACCCCGTGGTGTGACTGGGGCTGAGCTCCAATGGAGCTTTAACTTCTGGACACAGAAATCTGAACCTCATATAGCTTTAACACATCACACAAAATATTACTGTTATTTCCTTCAACCAGTTCCTGGGCCATACAAAAGCCAGAGGGCCAGAGTTGGCCTGTGCCGCAACTCACCACCCCGTCCTCCTTGGGTTTGTTTTGGAGATGTGGCTCGTGTGGCCCAGACTAACAGTGCTCTCGCCTGTCTCCCTTCTGCTCCCTGCGTGTCCTGCAGACATCGTGCCTATCCTGACATCAACTGTGATTGAGTGCCACCGGGCGGGCCTGAAGAACTCTGCCTTTAGCTTTGCGGCTATGCTGATGAGGCCCGAATACCGCAACAAAATCGATGCCAAGTACAAAAAGAAGATCGAGGCGATGGTCAGGTGGGCAGATGCACCCATTTCTGCTGTCCAACCACAGATGGGACTTCTAATTTACATAGGCTCAGTAGATAAAGTGGGTAGGGGTAGGGGCAGGGGCAGGGGCCATAGCTGACATTTACTGTCAACCTGACTGAATTTAATCACCTAGGAGACACACCTTTGGGTATGTGTACAGGGTGCATCCCTGCCCCAATGCAGGCTGGAGCCCCAAGCCGGATAAAAAGGAAGAGTGGGTGAGCTGAGCATCGCTCTCTGCGCTCCAGCCGCCTCCCGCTCCTCCATGATAGGCCCTGAGAACTAGGAGCCGAAGTAACTGCTGCCTCCCCTCAGCTGACTCCTGCTAGGCATTTTGTCACTGGACAGGTAGCTAATAATAGGAAATAAAAGCGACAGGAACCTCACTGATGTCTGAAGTCAGAATTTATGGGAACCATACACAAGGCATCGTCGACCAGGGATGGAGCCACTGTGTGCTGACGCCACCAAAACAAATGCTTCCATTTTCCCCATGGGCCATCCAGAGTATACAGGGCTCCTCTTCCCCCGCGGTTGCAAGATAGCCGCCACATCCAGACATCACATCTCCATTCAAGGCAGGACGAAGAGAGAGAATTAAAGCGCACATGGGTCCTTGCCTTTGTATCCAGGACTGCTTCACTTTAATTTCCAATATAGCCACAGAGAGCCTCCCTATGAAGCATTCTGTCAAGTGTGAGCAATGCTGTTTTGGCAAGAGGAAAATGGCTCTTAGACAGCATTGTCTGTCGTAGAGAGATGAACAAAACCATGGATGTTCTCAGCATGGAAACTCCACATTAGCACAGAGCACTGCCAGCAGAGCCTCCAGATCCAAGCACAGCAGATGAAGGCAGGCCTGGCTTCAGAGAGCAGCAGGGAGGCCTGCTTTCCCAGAAGACCCTGCATGGCTGGGGGGAGGTGGGGAACAGTAACAGAGAGGGACAGACATGCTCCTACCCTGGCCCCACAACTGACTTCCTCTTTCTGCAGCTCCAGATCCCCAGGCACCCAGGTTTTGAGTCTGCCGTGATCAGTTCATTCATAAAGGCAGAACCTACAGTATCAACACTTCCCAAAGGGCCTCTCTGGACACTGCTGGCAGTGGGGAGCACACCTTCAGTGCACAGCCCTTTGTGGGGACACTCTCTCCTAGACACTGCTGGCAGTGGGGAGCACACCTTCAGTGCACAGCCCTTTGTGGGGACACTCTCTCCTAGACAGAAGAAGTAGAACACATCACTGGAAACGTACAAAAGGAAAACTCAGTTATAACTCTGCACTACTTAATCAGAGTAGTGACATCATAACTCGGGACCCTTGACCCAGCCAGGTGAAAGGACTCACTGGTAATGGCAAGCAGAAGCAAGCAGGACTTGAGTGCTGTCCTAGTGAGGGTTACTATTGCTATGATCAAACACCAAGACCGAAAAGCAAGGGAGAGAGGGCTTACTGGGCTTCTACTTCCGTAAATGATCAGTGAAAGTCAGGAACTCAAACCGGGCAGGAACCTGGAGGCAGCAGCCAGAGGCCAAGGAGGCATGTTGCTTATTGGCTTGCTCCCTATGGCTTGCTCAGCCTGCTTCCTTATAGGACCCAGGACCACCAGCCCAGAGGCGGCCCCACCCATCAGTAAATGACATGTGATGCTTTCTCCAGGAGACCGGACACATCCGAGACAGAAGAGGTCACCACCCCATGTCCGTTCTGTCAGTTTCTTCTCCCAGAATGTGAGCTGCTTTGTCCTGGCTGCAAAAACAACATTCCCTACTGCATTGCAACAGTAAGTGCCTTTGTAATAATAATGTCCCTTTCCAGTTGAATATTTAATATGCCAGTATTTCTTCACCTTTGACACTATTTTCTGACTCATTTTCCAGAAAACATTTAGCATGAAATTCCAGGCAGCCGAGGTGAGGTTCAGAGCGCACAGGAATCCAGGAATTAGGCAGCAGCACGCTCAGCAGGCTGAGGTGTGCTCTCACATGCTTTTTCTGCCACCTAGTGGCTTCATGACACAGTGCAGTCTGCTCCTTGTAGGCTTGCCTGTGCTTTGTCCTGAGGTCAGCTGCATTGGTGAGAGAGCACACCCCCAAAGACTTACTTACCAGAAAACTAAAATGTCAAATTTGTTCATCCTTTGACTACCGTAAGCTATAATTTGAAGGAAGATAAATTCACACACTGGAATAAAAAGCCGGTTTAGTCCCTCTGTAAGCATGAGTCTAAGTGGAGCCCAGCTGTAGCCCTTCGGCCGCACCCTTCTAGACAGATGAAGTAGCCATAGTGTCCTAAGTCAGAGCCTTGTTTCAGAGGATGGATTTCACTCTTAACATTTCCAGGGCCGACACATGCTGAAAGACGACTGGACGATGTGCCCACACTGCGGCTTCCCTGCGCTGTACTCTGAATTCAAGATGTAAGTGTGCATCCTTTCCCGTCACATAAACGAGTCTAGAAATAGGCCTTTTCTGGATTCTTCCACACCTTCCCTCCGGGGGCTCCTCTGTGTTCCTAAAGACCCAAATTTATCTTCTTGGACGAACCTTGTGACCTCTGAGCACATTCTTCCCCAGGGGATCTTCCCTAACACAGGTCCTCATCCTGCCTCAGCGGACAGAGGCATTAAGAGGTGTAGGCAGAAGTGGCTCATTTTCCCATGAGCTTAACCCGGAGACAAATAACTCTGCATTTATCTCCCCTAGCTTACTAAACAGTGAAAGCACATGTCCCATGTGTTCAGAAAGATTAAACTCTAGCCAACTGAAAAAGATTCCAGACTGCACGCAGTACCTACGGACAGAGACAGAACAGTGAGCCGCAGGCCCAGGTAAGGCCCACTGCGCACTCTCCTCCTGGGCCGCAAAGCCCAGGATCCACCGCTTAATCCTTCAGGCTGGCAACGGCTCCTTCTGTGTGATGTGTAATTCTCAACTGTCTTAAACAGACTTATTTATTTAAATGTTCAAGTGATGGTAATATGGTTTCCCAAGTGGCTAAAGTTATTTAGCCAAGCATCATGAATTCTAACTAGACTGTTATCAAACTGTATGGTTCTTTTTAATAGACACTTAGAGCTAGAGCCAGCTTCCGTTAAATGGGAGCTCTTCAGCTGACTATTTGCTGTACAAAGTTTGACTTTCAGAGATTTTGGAATTCTAGGTTTTTTTTTCCTAAGTCTCACTTTGGCCACACAAAGCTGCAGACAGTCCTTCTACCTCATTCTGGTGACAAGAATTTTTGTTCACATGGGATTAAAATCCTGGGATTAAAGGCTTGCAGCACCATCCCTCACTTTATTAGGATTTTTTTTTGAAAGAAAGATCTCTAATCTAATTAGTTTCTTAGTTTTCTGAATGTTGAATTTTGTCAATGAATTGTGTGATGATAAAGCTTTCTCCCTTTATTCTACTTAGTGGGTTATATTGATAAAATCAAATCAACTTTTACTCAGGGATAAACTCACCTCATCACATCGTGGTTTCTAGTCATCCCCTGGTTCAAGGACTTACCCTCAGGTGCAGATCCAGGGCCCTGAGTCTAACCCCGCAGATTCTGGCAAAGGGTGACAGCCTCCAGCTGCTGCTGGCTGCTTATTATACCCTTGGCAGTTAACTGTTTATTACATTTTGTCTCAGATTTACACCTGCATCTGCATGTCTCTACCACTTCTAAAAGTGGAGCCTTGTTAATAAAGCTTCAGGCTCTCTCCCGATACTGCCTTTGCATCAAGGTGTGTGGTAGATACAGGAGCCTGAACTGTGGCTGTCAGAGCTCCTCAAGCTATGGCTTCAGTGAGCCAGAACTAAGCACTGCTATGGAGAAGGAACCTTTGTCTAATTTCAGAAAAGAAAAAAAAAATGCTCTCTATAGCCTGCCAAGCATCCTTGGCATGTTGACACTGGGTCTCCGCAGTGTGCCGTGCAGCTGTGGTCGGGAAGCCCAGTACTGTAGGTCCACAGGACTGGACGTCTGCAGGACTCATGCTCCAGAAGTCCAGCTTCCTTACGGCAGGACAGTACTGAGACCTCCCTAAAAGCGTCTATTTGTCCCTTTCTCAGACAGCTCCTGAGTAGACGGCAGCTCCCTCAGGAGGCTGTGTCCTCCCTGGACACAGTGACACGGCCTGCAGCTTGCTGAACTGTGTCCTCTTGTCCCACACAGTGTGTGCTCTGTGCCGTTAGTAGTATATTGTAAATATCCAGTTTTCTAATAACTTTTTTATTTAAGTATCTCCTTTAAAATAAAACTGTTGACTAGATATTTGTAATATTTTCCTGTATTTGGATACAGAGAAGGTGATGGAGGAGGTGGCCTGGAGCCTTTATAGGGTCTGTCCCTTGAACCAAAACACCAAAGACAATTCATCTGTACAAAATGCATAAACCTAGTGTCTGTCCATTCTGATGCACGCTATGGATTCCTACTGCACAATTAAGTCCCCTGGTTTCCCCTGTTATGTTCGCAGAGCACACTCACTTGTAGGAAGTCTGTGCCTAACCACACCTTCAGCGTGACGTGTGCATAGCCAGTGTCACCAGTCTCAACAGCCAACAGACATGGGAGTCGCACGAATCAGGGGATTCGCGTACAACAGCCAGCAACTGAGCATTACCAGCAGCTTCTGTGGCATCCGAGCATCCCACCTTCACACCTCCAGCTTTATCTGTCCTCTTGGGGCTCTCCAGAGGCTGTGACCTCACTAAGCAGTACAACTTAATGAGAAAGTCACCAGTCCCAAGCTTCTTGCTACCTCCCCACACCAGAGGTCACCTGGCATCTGTGTATTCTGGGATTGACAGGCTCAGCTTTCCCTTGTGAGGACACTCATCCTAAACTTCAGGGGATACCCATCCTGAACAAGTCCTTCTAACTCTATTGCAGTTCTGCCGAAATCTCTCAAAGGAACTACAGGGACTTGTCTGAGACACAGACTCAATGGCCGGGACTTGATACTCTACAGAGTAAGCAGAGAACCTGGGCAGCTTGGGACACCACAGGCCACCTCAAGAGCTACAAGGGGATTCAATCCCAGCACAGACATTTAGGTCCTCATGAATGCTAAGGTATTCACGCCTACCTTCTTTTAATCTGCACCCTTTACACCATGCTTAGGAGGGCGTCAAAGAGGAATCCGAAAGACCACCATTGCTATCCTATTGCTCTCATCTGTATTAAACAACATATTTACAGTCTCTAACTCTAAAAAAAATTATTTTTACAGCTTATTCACAACATTCATAATTTAAATTATAACTATATTAAATAAGCAAACACCATTTTTTGTTCTGAAAAACAAGCAGAATGCTGGGCCTTTCCTGGAATGTATATCCAACTGAGGGAGGCATGGTTTGCATGTCCAAAGGAAAAGAAATGGAAGAATGCGCACGAGTATCCCCTCTGGGTGAGGAAACCATCACCGCAGCAGCCAAGATTCAACAGAGAAGAGAGGGCAGGACGCAGAGGCTCAGGCTTAAGCGCAGTGTTTATTTCCATACTGAACCGATCTCCGTGAAGCATACCTTTCACCCTGGTTAATATACCTGCGATGTCTCCAGGACTCGTCTCCTCTCCCAACAAAGCCATGAGTCCTCAAAGGCAGAGCATGGTCCTCAAATTCTTTCTGGCATACACCTCACAGAGGCAGCATAGACCTCTGAGCACTTACTGAATTAAAAAGCTAAACACCCAAAGGCCAGGTTACGTCCATGGCCCTAGGGTCCTTCAACAAGCACAGTTCTAGATATAACCTGAAATTACAGTAGGGATATGAGCTCCTCACAGGACAGCATCTCCCATCAGAATGAACATGTAAAGCTGACCCATCCTAGACTACTGGTTTCACTCTGAAGGTTGAGACTGCAGGAGGACAGGAATGTGTGGCAGTCCAGTGTCCGCATACCCGAGAGGCCTCTCAGCGACTACCTACAGCAGCAATGTGGTTAGTGCAGAGGGATGCTGTGATTTGAGCTCTCTACCTGGAGAACTGTGATTCACAGGGTTATGCCAAATATTTTAATCTAATCAAATTAATAAGGAAAGTAATATACTAACATAATATTTTTGCTGTACAAGATGACAATCTTAAGAATGATCCATGCAGTCCATAGACATTCGATTCCTGATGCCTACTTTGCAGCTTGACAATGAACCAAGAATACTCAGCTCCAGGTGGTGGCTACTTTGTATTAAGGTTTATTTACAGAATTTCTCCATAAAATAAGAACTACTGAGTTCTTAAAAAAAAAAATCAGCCCTGGTCCTTTAACAGCCATGAGGACAAACTGTTAGGCTACAAAAGATGCCTCAGTTCCACTGCATCCAGACTTAACTAAAATCTGACTCCGAAGCCTGTGTGCTCCTAGTTTTGAATCCCAGCACTCTAACTGGGTTGGCAGGGACGGTGCAGGCTGAAGCATCCTGTCCCCCTCTATAAGAGGGGTGTGAGAGTTGCTAGCTAGCCCGCCTAGCTGTACCGTCCTCTATGATGGGACCACCAGGCCACCCCACTGTGTTGCACTGGCTACTCTGGGGTAAGGGGCACGGCTTTCCAATGGGCTAGTTGAGAGGGTAAGTGAAACACAGCTATTGGTACTGAACATGGTTTCATTTCTTCCAACTTTTTCCTTTTCCTTTTTTGGACTCCTTATCTTTGTCTGGTTTTGAAGACTTTGAAGATCCTGTCTTTTTCTGTTGGAGGAGAGACACACAAAAGAGTTAATATGTTGATGAGTACATAAAATGACAGCATAGTCTTTATCTACAACTTAATTAGAAAAGCAAGGTCACAGGTATCTACTGCTGCCCCTGAGAAGCAACAAGCAAGCTACTTACAGAGAAAACATCTAGATCTACTCAGACCTAGAACTAAGGTGTGCCCCGTGTAAGGCAGTTTCCTGGATTCAGAACACAGTGTTCATAGGAAAGCCAGAATACTCAAGAGATGGCTTACAGATATGGCAATGTCTACATGACAAGCCTCCCTTTTAATCTCTCACAAAAGATCTAAGCACACTCATTTTTGAAGCAGGGAGAGAAGAGAAGAGGGGAAACCAATTCAATTTCAAAGGGCCTCTATTCCTAGACGTGCAACACAGGAAGAAAGAGCCGCGCACAGGCGGAAGGAAAGAAGGCTGCAGCCCGGTGCCTTGGCAGCTGCCAACAGTAGACTGACTCCATGCCTCATTCAGATCTTTACTAGTAAAAGAAATTGTCAAGTTCTGCTCTGAGAGACTTTACAGGCAATTCAATGGCTGTAGGCAACACGAATAACCGAAGTGAACAATAGTTTAAAACATTTTTCTATATTCATGCTATAAAAATGCACTGTGGTATGAAAGCATATACCAAAATCCAAGTAAGTACTAATAGCACCCGTCTGGGGCAGGTGAGATGATTACTCGGTGGGAAATACTTGCTGCACAAGCTTGAAGACCAAAGCTCAGATCAATACACACATAAAAGCAAGGTATGGCAGGTAGCACACTTCTCTAAGCTCAGTGCTAGGGAGAAGAAACACACACGTAGCTCCTAGGACTCACTGGCTAGCCATCTAGCTAGAGCAGCAAGCTCCAGGTTCAGTGAAAGACCCTGTCTCAAAAACTAAGGAAAACAGAAACAGAAGACACTTGGAAAAACATACACATGGATACAGGTGTTCTTGTAGTACACATACATGACCATCACTACGATTGCCTACTTTCTTGCCGTTTGGCTCCTCCACTACTATAAGAAGTTCACTTTATAAAAATGAAACTGCCAGGCATGACAGCACACACACTTGGGAAGCTGTGGGTGGCAGAGGCAAGGCAGGCAGATCTCAACTCAGGGCCAGCCTGGCCAGCGAGTTCCAGGAGAGCCAGGGCTACACAGAGAAACCCTGTCTCGGAAAAGATAGATAGATAGATAGATAGATAGATAGATAGATAGATAGATAGA